AAAAAAAAAAGAATTATCAAGGCAGAGATCTGTGGGGGAGGGGAAGTCAGCAGAGTTTGGTGGCACCTCTGTTATTACTCAGACATCCTGCCTATCTGTGCTGCCACCAGCTCCTGTCTTGCCCATTTGGCCTGGTGTGACTGACCAACTAGTCATGCTGCCAGTCAGGCAGCCCCAGATACAGAGCTGTGTGTTTCTAGAGTAAGGTTAAGCAAAAACCACTTATTGAAAACTACTATAAACTCTTTCAAGTGAGAAATGCATGCTGTGACACTGTCTCTACTGTATAATCTTTAATTTTTACACTGTACATGGGCATAAGCAAATGATTGATACAATCTCTTCATTCCTAGGAATTGAAAAATGGGTTTGTTGGATCCAAAGTAAGAAAGAAAGGTAAGAATGCGGAAAATAAACCTGATAATTTCCAGGTATGAATTTACAGAATGAAGAAAAGCTTTAGTATTCTAAACCCACCAAACAGGTTCACTGCTTGTTTTCTTATCTGAGAAAGTGTTGGAATAAGAAACACTAGAATAGGAAAGTAAGCTATAATTCGATTGTAGTGCTGTTCTAGCTTAATGAGCTTAAACTCAAGTAGTACAACAGTCAGATTTAATGATTCAATGCAACAAGGGTGACCCCATACCAAAGGAACCATGGGACATCTCAAACAAAGGAAAAGATAGAGATACAGCATTTGGGGAAAGAGAAGTTTGGGTGAAATTTAAATAAAAGCAGAATTTTGATAGGCTTACAGAACAATGTTTTTAATTTAATCTTAGGCCTCAAGATAGGTGAAAGAACTGACCCTAAAATTCTGAAAGATCTTCGCTTCTCAGAGAGTCCACGGGAAATCCTAGCTTACCAGGAAGAATCAAGTTCTAGGCTACCCACCCACCAGTCTCAGGTAACATCTAAGGAAAATCTCTAGGGTACTAATACGTCCCATATTTCTAATGCTTCCTGTGAAGTAATTTAAGGCAGTGCCTCCCAGCCTTTCACTATGTGCCAGGCAGTATTCCAGTACTGGGGATATTGTGTTGAGCAAGAAAGGCCCCTGTAGCCATGGAACATACATTTTTATTGGGGTTGGGGCAGCAGATAATAAACATGTAAATAAATAAACATTTTTAAATAGTGATAAGGGTCATGAAAAAAATAAAACTGGATAATGGGATAGAGCAATGGTTTTCAAAAAGTGGGTCCTAGACCAGTGGAGCAGCATCATGTAGGAGCTAATCAGAAATGCATATTATCAGGCCCCACCCCAGACCTGCTGAATCATAGACTTTGGGGGTCAGCCCAATAATCTGTATTTTAATTAGCCCTTCTTCTGATGCACACTCAAGTTTAGGAACCCCTGGGAGAAAGAATGGCCATGGCGTGTGGACAAGAATGGTTCTGATTTACAGTGATAGAGGATGGCTTCCTTGAAGAAGTGACATTTGAACTTTCATGATGAAGAGAAGCCAGGCAGGAGGTATATAAAAGTGAGGAATTGAAAGGAGGTGTAGATGGAGCATGGTGAGCAAGGTACAGAAATATAGGCTGGAAGCCAAAGCATCTAGAGTTGAGGTTCTCAAACATGAGTGTACATGAGAATCACTTGAGGAGCTTCAAACCAATCCTTGGAACCTAACCTCAGAAATTCTGGTTTAATTGACCTGGTGGGGGTTTGAGTGGTTTTTCCCACCCTACCCCCCAAATCTTATTTTGTTATTTTTGAGAATATACACAATGTCATGGATTTAATTTTGTCCCTCCAAAATATGTGTCAACTTGGCCATAATTCTCAGTTATTTGGCAGTTATGCCATGATGTAATGTGGTAATTATATAATGATATGATCATCTCCCATGATGTGATCAGCCTTGATCTAAGGGGATAAGGGTGGGATGCAACACCTTTATTCAGGTCACAGCCCTGATCCAGTGTAAGGGGAGTTCCCCTGGTGTATGGCATGCATCACCCTTTATCTTCCAAACCCCAAACCAAACCTACAGCCCAGTCAATTCTGACTCAAAGCAACCCTATAGGACAGAGTAAACTGCACAATAGAGTTTGCAAGGCTGTAAATCTTTATGGAAGCAGACTGCTTCATCTTTCTCCTGTAGAGCACCTGGTGGGTTCAAACCACTTGTGTTTTGGTTAGCAGCATCAGCAGAGTGCCTCCTTTTATCTTATAAGAAATAAAAGGACAGAGAAGTGAACAGAGAAGAACTTTAGAACCACCAAGAAAGAAGAACCGAGAGTGGAGCATGCCCTTTGGACCCAGGGTCCCTGTGCTGTGAACCTCCTCAAGCCAAGGGAAGATTGATGCCAATCCAAGAGATGCTGTGGTAATTAAGGTTGTGTGTCAGCTTGGCTGGGCTGTGGTTTTAAGTGACTGGACAGCTGGATGATGAGATTGTAATTACCTCTATGGTGGAATCTGCTGTGAGCAGCTAAGTAGTTGCCTTTGGTGTATGACCTGCTTCCAGAATATAAGGAGAAGCTTTGAGAAAGGTCTTGGGCTTTTTGGCATGTTCTCCAATTCCTGGACTTGAATCAATGGCCTGCTGTATTGCGTGCTGATCTTGAGATTGTCCCATTTTTCCTGTTGATCTTGGGTTCATCAGCCTCAACAGCCTGCAGCTGTCTGAGTTAGGAGACACCTCTAGCTCTGGTGGGCATGGACTAAGATGTAGAGCTGAAGGCCAAGGTTGAAGAGCCTTTACCCAGCTCCTAGAGCCAACACTCTGAATTTGGAGGGCAAGACATGATCTCATTTACTTTTCAATTTTTCTTTTTGGCCATAGTATAGAGATTAGACTATAGAGAAATAAGAGGAGAAACATCAGTTAAGATTTTGCCTCTAGGAAAAATGATATGGCTTGGACCAAGGCTGTAGTAGTGGTGAAGATAGGAGGTGGTTGAAGTACAGATATGTTTTAGAGATTAAGTCAACAGCTGAGTAATCAGGTGGAGAGGATGAGGACGAATGGAGGAGTCAGGGGTGAATCTCAGGATTTTTGCCATGCATCTGGAGATGGTATTCCCATTAACTGCAATGGGGAAGACTTGGGAGGAGCAGATATTCAGGGGCTCATTAGACATCCAAGTGGAGATGTCAAGTAGACTGCTGTATGTGTAAGTTCAAACTCAAAGGAGAGGTGAGGGCTGGAGATGTGTATTAGAAATATTCAGTATGTAGATGGTATTTAAAGCTTGGAGCTGAATGAAATTACCTGCCAAGCATGTACAGAAAATGAAGAGAAGGTGGCACAATACAAAGCCCTCAGCTTAGAGGTTGAGCAGAAGAGGAGTCTGAGAAGTAGGAAGAAAAGAAAAGAATATGGTGCTATGGAAGTCAAAAGAAAGGGTTTCAAGAAGTGAACGGTCATCTATGTCGGATATTACTGAAGATCTAAAGAAGGACAGAGAATTGCCCATTGGATTTAACAAGATGGAGGTAATTGATGACTTTAATAAAATCCATATCAGTGCATGCCTACAAACAATAGCATAAGAAAGATTCCCTTTACTAGCTTTTTGCTACTTCTATTATAGGATTTTTATTTTTAAGTGTTTATCAAATTCAGTGTAGACTTTTGGCATCTAAGGGAAACTCCCTCCAGTCATCTGTCATATAGTCTGTCTGAACTATATGAAGAATAACAGCATCAGGATTGGAGGAAGAGTCATTAACAACTTGACATACGCAGATGACACAACCTTGCTTGTTAAAAATGAAAATAACTTGAAGCATTTACTGATACAGATAAAAGATTATAGCCTTCAGTGAGGATTACACCTCAACATACAGAAAACAAAAATCCATACAACAGAACTAATAAGCAACATCATGATAAATGAGAAAAAGGTTGAAGTTGTCAGGGATTTCATTTTGCTTGGATTCACATTCAATGCCCATAGGGGCAGCCATCAAGAAATCAGATACCATACTGCATTGGGCAAATCTGCTGCTAAAAAAAGTGTTAATGAGCACAGAGATAACTTTGAAGACTAAAGTGTAGCGGATACAAGCCATGGTATTTTCGATAGGCTCATATGCATGTGAAAGCCTGACAATGAATAAGGAAGACCAAAGAAGAGTTGATGCCTTTGAATTGTGTTGGCGAAGAATACTGAAAATACCATGAACTGCCAGAAGAACAAACAAGTCTATATCTGAGAAGAAGTATAGCAGGAATGCTCCTTAAAAGTGAGAATGGCCAGACTTCTTTTCATGTACTTGGGTCATGTTGTCAGAAGGGAGCGATCTCTGGAGAAGGAGATGATGCTTGGTAAAGTAGTGAGTAAGCAAAAAAGGGGAAGATGATTAAACATGGAGTCTTGTCAGTAATCACCACGTTATTTCCCTGTAGCATCTTAGTGCTTGAAAAACTAGGTACAGCAGTTTGAATTAGAGATTCTGGTGCTCTGAACAGCTCACTGAGTCAGAGTGCACAAACTCAGAGAAGTAGAATTAGAAATAAGAAAGGGGCAGGGAAAAAATAACAAGATCAGAAGATCTATCCTTCAGAGTGCTGACAGGCAGCCGATAAAAGCCATCAGAGACTTCCGTGGAGGAGAGCCGACTGGCAGGAGAGAACAGCCATCAAAGACCTCCCTGGGTTAGGGAAAAAGACACACCACACCAGCATACCAGCGATCACACCAGCATACTAGTGATCACCCCAAGGAGCTACCTTCAGCAACTGATTTTATCAGTAACTTGGGTCAGCTAGGTGTAAACGGGCACATCTAGCACCGTTGAAACCTGAGAAGAGAGTCCATTGGTGCTGTAGGAGGGCGGGCCTGGGGAGGTGCCCCCGTAGTGGGTCACTGAGTAGGCTTAGGTCAGCTTAATGGCACTGAGAGGCCTACGCTTGACTTTATCAGTAATATTGGGGCCACAGTTTACTAACAGGCACTCTCCCAACTCCAGCACTGCTGAAACCGAGCAGATCTTTGGCGCTGCAGGTGGACGGACCCACAGAGGAACTCCTGAGGTGGATTGTGGTCTGGGCTGGTTGGGCCAGTGCTGAGGGCAGGCAGGTCCAGAGAGGGAAACCCCCGTGGCAGATCACAGAGCCAGGAAGTTGGCTTGGGTCGGCTTTTTGGCACTGAGGGGCCTCGAGAGTGGAGTTTTTTTGTGTGTCTAAGCCTGGCAGAAAGTGGTGACCCCCTAACAACTGGAGTCTTTGCTGAAATTGAGCTGTAGGCCTGTGAATAACAATACAATGTCATCAGGTAGTACCCTGCTCAAAGCCCTAGAAACCGCCCTTAGCAACAGCAAGCTTTCCTTCTTCCACTCCCACCTTCTCTGCCAATAACTTCACTCATCCAATAGAAAAAAACACATTTAGCCACTGTAAAACCTTCCGGTTCGAACTCTAAACCCTCTTTATGACAAACAGAAACCCATATCCACATTCCACATAGTGATTCCATCATCACAGAGCAACCCAGCATACCTGAATTAATAGCTAAAATAAATAAAATACACCAGCTTCACCTTTTCAAAATATTAAACCATAAAACCAAGACAAAACAAATCAATATGTAACCAACAGTTAAAGACAACCTCAAGATGTCTAGGAAACAACCAGCAACCTCAAATCAAACAACAACAACAACAACAA